TATGTCCTGTCTGGCAATGTTGTATGAATTTTTGTCTTAATGCTAGAAAAAGCCCAACAGATTTTACCCTCACAAATGGCACATTATCACTTTCACCATAGTGCTCTGCCTGATTTATATATGTAAATAGTTTTATTATGTGGACACTACAAAAAAAAGAGAGAAAAGGTGAAAGAGTAGACAAAAGAGAGATATTGACTAAACTTTATCAGTCTGCTTCATCAACTGCAAAGAGATGTAAAAAGAACAGCACAACCACCTGATATAGAACTACAGATACAATACAGCAACATACAGTATTAATTAATATTAAAAACGAGATGAGGTGTTCTCCAGGAGTTAGCTGGTTTAGAGCAACAAGGTCTATGGAATGTGTCCCCGTTAAAAGACACGGAAACTGATGTCTGGTTTTGTTGTAGATATACTGTGGTTCTACAAAGGAATTCAAATAACAGTGCATAATATACATAAAATATGTATATTCGGACATAAAGACTGTATTTAGCAATGAAACACATATGACTCATATATTGTGAGCATGAATACAGCACACATTAAACATGGTGAAAATTAGCTTAGTAGCTGAACATCAAGCAGCATAAAATGCTTAACATTAGACATATAATCATAAAATATGCAAATAACACCATACAGCAAATTTAAACGCCATTAAACTCACCTTCTGACATGTATACACAGCAATTCCAGGAGGTAAACACATACAAATGAAGAGTTTCAGGAAAAAACTGCTGTATCAGCAGGAAAAACGTTTAGCCATCTCACATGCAGGTGTGGTGCGTTCAATGAAGCTTCGAACACCTATGGTGCCTTCATGAGCGTCAGACATATGACATCTCACCGAAAACACAATATATATTAACAGTTTCCAATGGAAAACATCTAAACAATATGGACTTTCTAACAAAGCCGCCCCCGACTGTCTACATACAGTCGAATCCAAGATAGAAAGTCCACTTAAGTAACTGAATCTTCGGCCGCGTCTTCCAATTTAGGTAGCTGGACCAGCCAAGCTACTGGTTGGATGTATGTCCGATCCTTGACCTTGATGGCAGTGGTCCGGACACGTCCATCAGCCCCTGGGTAAGTGGTTAGTATCTTTCCGACAGGCCATAAAGCCCGTGGGAGCTGTGGATCGACAATGAGCACCACTTGATTTGGTTGGAGCTGTTTTCCATCCTTCAGCCACTTCTGTCTCTCCTGCAGGCTAGGCAGATAGTGCCTGATAAATCTGGACCAGAAGTGATCAACAAGGACTTGGCTATGCTTCCATCGACGATTCTCTAGGGTGTTACTAGGATCGTAAACAGCTTGTGGAAGAGATGCATCATATCTTCCCATTAGCAGGATGCTAGGCGTGATGGGATCCAGATCAGCCACGTCTGACAAGACATACCCAAGGGGCTTAGCATTCAGGATGCCATCCACTTCCACTAAAACCGTGCGGAGCACTGCTTTAGGCACTGTCTGTTCTTTAAGTACCACCTTGAGAGCGGTTTTAACGGACCTCACTTCTCTCTCCCATGTTCCACCGAAGTGAGGAGCACCTGGGGGATTAAAGCAGAATTCAATCTGCTGTGCTGCCAACTGTTCCTTCAGTTGAGGGCCCATTGCCTCGAAGGCCTCACGTAGCTCTCTGGCTCCACTAGTGAAGTTTTGCCTCTTCGAGAGATGAAACGTCGTAGAGACATCAGAAAAGCATTGGTGTCTAGGCGCTCTAGGAGGTCTAAGTGCATGCAGCGGGTTGTTATACACTTGAAGATGATGCCCCAGCGTTTCTCCATTCGCCATCCAATCTTGACTGTAAATTGACCAAAACAATCAACTCCAGTTGAGTAGAATGATGGTTTGTAGAGGCGTAGACGCGCAGGTGGTAAATCTGCCATCTTAGGAACAGAAGGATTAGCCTGCCATGCCTGGCATTGCATGCAATGAATCTGACACTTCTTTACTGCTTCCCTTCCCCGCAGAATCCAGAACCGACTACGCAGCTCACCTAAGACCCTTTCGGGCCCAGGATGCAGGAGGGTCTCATCGAAATCCTGAATAATCAGGTTGGTTAGTGGATACTTGGGATCCAGCAAAACAGGGTGGATGGTGTCTTGTGGTAACTGCTCTGCTCTCTGTAACCTCCCTCCGACCCTGACGAGTCCTGTGTCCTTGTCATACTCTGGAGAAAGGGAACCCAGACAACTGGAGACTGGTAAAGTTCGGTCAGACATGAGAGCCTTGACATCCTCTGGGAATGATTCCCACTGCGCCCTTCTAAGGAGGAGGTTCTCTGCAATGATGCAGTCAGCTGCTTTACTAGGTGGCTCAGAGTTTGGCTCAGCCGCCCCGTGAAGGGACCATGTGGTTGTCTGCATCAGGTCCTTCCATGTGGAGAACTGGCTCACATCAGGGATTTGAGGACAGGTGTCAAAAGTTACATGTCCACAGAAGGATGATTTCTTTAGCTCGCAATCATCTGTCTCTGGATAGGATGATAGGCTGGTTGGCCAGTGATCCTCTGTGTAACACAGGAACTCAGAGCCTTTATGCCAATGATGTGGTCGGGACAGCTCTGTCAGGGTCTTACCCCGGGTGATGTCATCGGCGGGGTTGTTAGCACTGTTCACATACCTCCAGTGGTTCACGTCCGTAAGGCTCTGTATCTCTGCCACTCGGGTACCCACAAAGACTTTATAGTGACAAGATTGCGACCTGATCCAATGTAGAACTGTGGGTAAGGTGAGTTCAGTGCGAAGAACACTGGCTAGCTGTGCACCAGTAAGGGCAGCGCTCAGCTCTAGCCGTGGCATGGAGAGTTGCTTCTTTGGTGCCACACGTGACCTGGCCAGAACAAAGGACAAATGGATTTTATTCTGACTGTCTTCTGTTCTCAGGTAAGCAACAGACCCAGAAGCATCACAGAATATGTGCAGGTCTCTGGTTGATGATGGCGAGTCTGCAGAAGCTGGTGCATAACATCTGGGGATTTCCATGTGGATGAGTTCTGGAATCTCTTGTTCCCAGGTGAGCCATTTGTCGCTCAGACTCTGTGGCTGAATTGGCTCATCCCAGCCGATCTGTTCTTTTCAAAGATCCTCAACCAGAATCCTGGCTCTGGTGATAAATGGTACAATATAACCTAGGGGATCATATTGACAGGCAAGTACCTTATAGACGTTCCTTAATGTGGGCTCGGTTCTCTCCACTGTTCTATGTTTGTACTTCAGGGAGTCGTGGAGGCAATTCCAACGTTACCCACAAGTTGGCTCCTGTAGGTCCATGCTGGATTGGGAAAGCCACAGATCACTGCTCTCAGATCTCATGTCAGATGGTAGGTGCTCAATGACCTCTGGGATGTTGCTAGCCCACTGCCGCATCTCAAAGCCCCCTGTGATGAGTAACTGACTTAGACCATCCACCAGATTCTTTGCTTCCTCCTTCGAGTGGGTGCTGCGGAGACAGTTATCCACATAGAAAGACTGTTCAACACAATCGATGAGATGGCTGTTAGACACAAATATCCTGCACGTGCCGCTGCAGGGCGTAGATGGCACAGCAAGGACTGCATGTGGTGCCAAAGGGAAGAACTTGCCATTTATAGATCTTTGGCTCCTCTGTTCTCTTCATGTCCTGCCAAATGAAGCGCAGAACAGGTTTGTCAGCTGGCAGAAGGCGAATATGGTGAAACATGCCTTTAATGTCCCCATTCACTGCAACTGGGTATTGACGAAACCGCATGAGGACTCCAGAGATGGGCCTAGGGCAGGTCCAGGAAGAATAAGGTCATTGAGAGACTTTCCTCCATACTGGAAGGAACAGTTGAACACAGTCCTGTCTTTATTGTTATGTCACACCATGTGCTGTGGTATAAACTAGGATTATGGAGTTGATGTTGCCTCCTCTGGTGGAACCACTGCTACGTAGCCCATCTTCTCTAGTTTATGATCTCTTGGCAGTAGACCTCTGCACGCTGTGGGTCTTTGGCGAGTCTTCTCTCTGTACTACGAAGACTTGGCAACACTGCTTCCATAGGAGCTTGAAGGATGGTGGAGGCGAAGCAGTGGTGTAGCATATCTTTGTACCCCTTTGACATTTACCCTGACAGTGGATGTCTGGAGCAGGTTTAAGGCTTCCGGATCTTGCTTTGATCGGGTCACCTGCTTCTCACTTGTGTACGGCAGTGTGTCAATCTGCCAGAGGCGTTCAACGTTTTTGAAGAGTTCAGAGGAAGGTGATACTGTTGCTGTAAGCAGGCACTGCTGGTTGGATCCAGGAACTTGGTCAAAGCTGGTGGGACCTTGAAGTGACCACCCCAGTTTGGTGTGGACTGCGATAGGCCCCCCAAGGTGTCCCAATTGCACCGGCTCTATCGGTGTCAGGAGACGAGCCATGTCAGATCCAATTAGTAACAAGGGTTGAGCGTGATCAACAGGAGGCAATGGTAGGTGCTGGAGGTGGTTGTATCTCCTTTGGAGGGTTCTCACTGGATATGAATGTTCTGAGAGACTAAGGTTCTCAGCGGTGAATGCATCACTTATGTGATACTTCTTTTCGGGTTCAGGCAGTGGAGACACATAGAAGGCAACAGATGCACCATGAAGCTGTACCACATCCTGGTGAACAGTTCGGAGGGTGAGTGTTTCAGGCTGCGTGGTGATATTCAGGTGTTGCACAGCCTGTGGCAAAATGATGCTTCGCTCCGAACCATCACCCAGAACTGCATAGGTCTCTAGTAATCTGTCTTGATTATAGAGTAGGACCTTTACAACCTTTAACATCACCCTGGGAGATCTGTTTGGTCTGTCCAGGTACACCTTTTCATTCGGAGCCATCACCATGAAAATACTCTTCTAAGTTTGCTGGACTGCATCGTGTAATACTGTGAGATGTTGCTCTTTGCAGGTATTGGATGGTCACTTGAGGGTGCAAAACTCTGGTTTATGAGATCGTCCACACTTCCAACATCGATGTCCATCCTGTATCCACCTCACAACCTGGTTGGTGTTCAATTTCTTGAACTCTGTGCAGGCATTTAAGAAATGTTCTTTACTGTCACAGTGAGGACAATATGGTTTGGGCTTGGATGAGGGCTTTGGTGGTGAAGACTTTTGTCCTTTGGGGCTTTGGTCTCCGTTGCCAGTGAGGAGCAATGCTGTTGACTTCTCCTTTGATCGGTTGAAGCGACGTTGGTCCTTCTTCAGTGGCTTGGGAGCTTCATAGTTATAAATTACTTGGGATTTGATCTGTAACCAGGAACTCAGATCAGGTAAGGTGTAAGTTCGGTCAGTACCTGTCCTAAGAATACCTTGGTTCAGACAGTGTTCCACAAACCCATCACGGTAGCTTGCTCAGCAGTCAGTCGAGTTAGCCAGCTGGTGTTTGCTCTGCAGCTTCAAATGTCCAAGAAGCACTTGATATTTGTACTGCTCATTCAGGTGAACAGCCATGTTCACTTGAATGAGCAGCACCATTTAAACACCATTAAACTCACCTTCTGACATGTACACACAGCAAGTCCAGTAGGTAAACACATAAAAATGAAGAATTTCAGGAAAAAATGGGAAATAATGAGCTTTACACTGCTGTATCAGCAGGAAAAACGTTCAGCCATCTCACATGCAGGTGTGGTGCATTCAATGAAGCTTCGAACACATATGGTGCCTTCATGAGCCTCAGACATATGACATCTCATCGAAAACACAATATAAATGAACAGTTTCCAATGGAAAACATCCAAACAACATGGACTTTCTAACAAATATCCTTCAATACATCCATCTATTTTCCGTCATGCTTATCCCAGCTGGGGTCCCAAGGGGTGCTGGTGCCTATCCTCCAGCTGTCCACAGGTGAGAGGCGGGGTCCAACCTGGACAAGTCACCGGTCCATCGCAGGGCAACACAGACACAAACCACCATTAACACAAAAACTCACACCTAAGGAGAATTTAGAGAGGCCAATTCAATTTTTGGACTGTGGGAGGAAGCCGGAGTAACCGGAAAGAACGACACATGCACAAGGGGAACTCGCAAACTCCATGTAGAGAGACCCCTGACAGGAATCGAACCTGAAACCTTCTTGCTGTAAGGCAGCAGTGCTAACCACTATGTCACTGAGCAGCAATGCATAAAGTGGTAGCTGAAGAAAAAAATGGGCAAGTATGTACGTAACTGGATCCAGGCACCTGCAGCTGTTTGTGGGGGTTCACTTGTGTGTGTAAGGTTTATCCATGGGGAAAATGCTCAATAGTGGTTGTTATTTCCTTCTTTTTAATCAGGCGCTGAGTTCGATTATTGATTCCTGGTTTTGACATGAATGTGTTAGTGTTGGCTGAAATGTATGAGGTTATAAACGATAAACTTAGAAGAGTTATTGGTTTGACAGTAGAGAAGGACTTTTTACAGTCCAGTTAATGTAGAACTTACAAAAAGTAGAAACATCAGTTATTACTATAGTCCAGGTGTGGAGCTGCTGCTACCTGATCATTCTATCAATCGATTAATCTGTCGATTTATTTGTCTGATTAATCTACAAATTCCTCAAAGATTTTTAACCTTTTTATTTTTGTTCATTACATTCTTGATTTACAGAATTCTTTTACAGAATTTGAACCAAATGAAGGTCAGAAATGCTCATTGAGGAAGACTGAATAGAGTTTATTTACAGACAAATACATTTTCTCATTCTAAATTCAAAGTAATTCTATTTTCTGTGCAGTTTTGGCTAAATTACTGCGCGCAGTTCGTTAGTCTTGCTGCAGATTGCCTAATTTATTATTTCAACGGATTACCAAATTGGTTAACTTTAATTCAATAATCATACACGACTAACCGGATTGTTTAATCCCTAATTGGAACCAGTGTCTAACCTAGTTCAGGTTAAATCAAGTCAATTTGAGCTCAATCCGTTATCTGTTGAAGTTAATGATTAAAGTATGATAACAGATGATCGTACTTCCTTTATTCTCTAATTTTGATCTTTTGTCTCTTTTCACGTTTCCTCTTCAGTCAACTCCCCCAGAGTTTCGGGTTAAAGACATGAAGGTTCCTACTGCCCTATTTTCTGGGGGACATGATACTTTGGCGGACCCGAAAGACATGGCTGTTCTTCTCACTCAGGTTGGTCCTATGTGAAGTCTTCAGCTGGACCTTCAGAATAACAGACAGAAGTTCCTCCTCACTGTAAACATCTCTGGTGTCTGTGGACCTTCATTGGTTGAAAGGCTGTTTCCTTCTTCAGGCTGTCCTCTGGTTTTGAACTATCTTCTTTTGTTGGTTCCTTGTCGGCAGAGATGATGAAAAAATTCTGTCTCCCATCAGGTCTCCAACCTGGTCTACCATCAGCATATTGAGCACTGGGAACATCTGGATTTCATCTGGGGGATGGATGCTCCTCAGGTTATGTTTCCATCCATTCTGAAGCTGCTGCAGCAACATCAGTAGAGACACAGAGATCATTCCTCTAGATGACCAGCAGAGGACAAGATGCCTGAGCTGAAGGTCCAGCAGTCAGGTTTTATCAGGACCATTTGATTTTATGCTTTTATAAGGAAGTTTAAGGTGATTGTGAATTTAGAGAGAAAAAACAGTTTTCAGAAACAGAACGGCAGCAGATTCTCAGTTTGAGTTCAAATATGCTTTAACTCAGGTTTAAAGACCCTCAAGGCTCCAGAACCACAAAATAAAAAAAGAAGCAGAATTAGCTTTTATGGCCCAGAACCATCAGAAGCTCTGCACAGGTTTTTATTAAAGGTTCATCTGAACTGTTTTATATTCAACCCACAGAAGTTTCATTAAAGACAGACGCTCCTGTTGAGGGCAGAACCTGCAAAAGAACGCTGAGCGTTCGGTTTGCATTAGAAATGTTTAAAATTCATTAAAAAAGATGTTTCCTAGATGCTGCGGTTTTTGATATTCTGTTTAAACATCCATCTTTATACCACTGAGAACTGCAGTTGTGTTTTACTGTAACCTGCTCTGAAATAGGAAGAACCACAATGTTCATGATAAGCTGTGAATTAAAGCTGCTCACTTTCAAATCCAGATCTTTGTTTTTATTTGGACCAGAACCAGAATTCAGTTGCAATTGGTTCAGAGTTTCTTTTTCTTTGCAGTTTATTGAAAGGACAAAGATGGGGTTGTTTCTTTGACACTTGAGTGGAATCACTATTTCAGAGACTTCCTCCTTTAAAGTGAAACCTTCAGCATAAATAGGAACAGGTCGAGCTGAAACTGCAGATCTGAGAAATTGTAAAGCTAAAAATAATTAGACGACGTGAGGAAACGCTGGAAAACGCCTACAGAGGTATAAAACAGGCACTGCTTTCTCAAACTGATAACAGACTTGAACTTGAGATACTGGCAGTGATTAGGTTCTAAAGAACTGCTGTTTCATAACAGGAAGGTATAAATTTTTTCTGCTGCGCTCTACTTTGACCTCTTTCAGCCATGGTTCTACTTTTGGCACAAAAAATATTAAAAAGATAATTTGCCAGGCTTCATCATGGCTAGTTTCTGCTATCCCATTAATGCATTGATTAGATATGTTTCATTCTATACAGTATGTTCAATCATACATTATAAATATCATTTAAACAGGGAGGTATAATGTACTGAAGAAACAGTATTATAAATTTAATTTCCACAGCTAGGCTTCAGGAAATATTTCCACCCATCACAGAACAACACTTTGACAACAAAGAGAAACGTAACAAATTACCAGCTATGTATAGAAATAATCTAAGTAACGTTAGATACAAGGAAGGTTGACTTAGGTTAACATCTATAAACAGTTAAAGCAACTGTTGTGAAATCATTATTTTAGCAATTGTAAACAGTTGAAGTATAACATTATAGTAATATTCCTCATAATAAAGACTTCAAAGCTGTTACTACAAAAGCATGAGCCTAGCCTAACAGCTATGTATAAAAAATAATATAATTGATTGTAGACAGTAGGAGCAAATGTAAATTTTATATATTAATACACCCCCTTTATAGAAAAATACACCTTGGATCTGTTATTTGTATTGATGATTTTTAGGAATACATAATGATGAAAGTTTCTGTTTACAAACAACAACAAAAAGTTAAATATACATATTTTACATCACTCTATTACACTGTTTATATCTAAAACTTCTACAACAGTGTACATGTTGAGAAACTAAGTATGGCTTCTTAAATTAACTGTAACTTCTATAGTTCCTTTTATGGTTTAAATTTGAGGCTGTGTTTTGTCGGAGCATTTTCTTAGAGGATAACCAACTATTAACGGTGAGGTGATTGATATCTGTTCAACAATGAGTAGATAAATACGTACTGAAGCCTCAGAGAGAACCAGCTTACCAGCAAAATGGTCAGCCAAACCTTTCAACACAGTCAATTAAAGGAAAAGTCCGGTCATATTTTAATATTTAAACTTATGAAAGTACTTTAAATATGAAAGAATTACA